CCAATACATTTGCATACAAAATATCTGTGTTGCTGAAATATTTCTGTGTGTGATTTTGCATATTTTGTAAAATAAATTATATTACAGTAACTTTTCAGTATATAAAAATGCTGAAATAAAAATCAAATAAAATCTATAGTAAAAAACTTATTTTTATGTAACAGTCAGCATGTCGCCATCTATACCTTTTTTGGAGTTTATATTTTTTTACATTCAGCATTTTCAACACACAACATGTGTTTATGCAGATTTTTTTTTCCCCCAAATATTTTGCCAATATCATCACATTGGAGTACATAGAACTTCTGGTTTTTTTTAATGTTGATTTCAGTCAGTTCGCTATAAGTTCTCAGTTTAAGCATGACTTTGTCAGTCTTGCTTGCATTCGTTTAGGTGTATGAATGTTTGTTTTTACGGTCAGGGTGTCACATTACAATTAATGTTCAGTTTAAGTATATTTTTCTGTTGGTGTTTTTAGGCAAATTTCAGTTTTTACATGTGTTGCATGTTGTAGTAGTAGTTGCTGTTGTTGTTGATATATCCCTTGGTTATAATTAGTTGTCATTAACCTTTTATTCGACAAAAATTTCATACAAACAAATAAACCGACAGACAGGCGGAAAGTCAAATACGAAGTCATCAAAAAAATTGCAAAATTTTGTTGAAAGAACAAAACAGAAATATTGTATTACTATCGGATAATATTTCCCTCCATGTGGATAGGCATTTTTCCAAAAAAAAAAAAGAGCACAATGGGTCATAGAGTTAAATTTTTGTCAGTTTAGAGGAAAACTTTTATAATGAAAATGTAATGAAAATTTTCCCATTTTTGGGCAACTTTTCTATAGAAAAAAAAACATGTTCTTTTAGGAGAAAGTTGTTTAAAGAAAATGTTGCCATTTTTAAAGCAACTTACTGAAAAGTTGGGCAACATTTTCTATGAAAAAATTTTTGATAGAAAATCTTCGTTGGCAACTTATAGAAAAGTTTTATAGAAACATTTTGCACTTTTTTGGACAACTTTTCTGTTGCCCTTTTTTGATCCGATTTTCTATGAAAAATTTCGCCCTTTTTGCAAGAAATTTTCTAAAAATATTGCAATTTTGGTAGAAAATCTTCGTTAGCAACTTATAGAAAAGTTTTATGAAAAAATTTAGCTCTGTTTGGGTCAACTTTTCTGTTGCCCTTTTTTGAACAGATTTTCTATTAAAAAAATTGCCTTTTTTCGCAAGAAATTTTCTAAAAATGTTGCCCTTTTTGATAGAAAATCTTCTTATAGACAAGTTTTATGGAAAAATGTTGCTCCTTTTAGAGCAACTTTTCTGTTGCCCTTTTTTGAACAGATTTTCTATGAAAAATATCGCAAGGAATTTTCTTAAAAAGTTGACCTTTTGGAGTAACTTTTCTGTTGCCCTTTTTAAACAGATTTTCTATGAATAATTTTGCCCTTTTTGCAAGAAATTTTCTAAAAATGTTGCCCTATTTGATAGAAAATCTTCGTTAGCAAGTTATAGAAAATTTTTATGGAAAAATTTTGCTCTTTTTGGGGCAACTTTTCTGTTGCCTTTTTTTTTTTGAACAGATCTATGAAAAATATTGCCCTTTTTCGCAAGAAATTTTCTTTAAATGTTGTCCTTTTAATAGAAAATCTTCGTTAGCAACTTATAGAAAAGTTTTATGGAAAAATGTTGCTCTTTTTGGAGCAACTTTTCTGCTGCCCCTTTTTTGAACAAATTTTTTATAAAAAATATTGCCCTTTTCTCAAGAAATTTTCTTACAATGTTGCCCTTTTGATAGAAAATCTTCGTTAGCAACTTATAGAAAAGTTTTATGGAAAAATGTTGCTCTTGTTGGGTCCACTTTTCTGTTGCCTTTTTGAAACAATTTTTCTTCACAAAATTTTGCCCTTTTTGGAACAAAAAGAGCAACTTTTTTTATAGAAATTTTTGCTCTTTTTGGAACACCTTTTTATGAAAATGTTGCCCCTTTTTGGAATAGCTTTTATATGGAAAATATTTTCCTTTCTGCATTAAATTTTGGAAACAACTTTTCTATGAAAAATGTTGCCCGGTTATGAACAACTTTTCAACATTTTCTTTCAAAACTTTTGACTCTTAAAAGCAATTCTTCTATAGAAAATGTTGTCACATTCAGAACAAATTATCATTGGGAAATATCGCCTTTTATAAAACAACTATTCTGTGGTAGAGGTTTGTCTTTTAGAGCAAGTTTTTCTATAGACAATTTTAAATCATTTATGGGATATGTTGCCCCATTTGGAGCAGATTTCTTATAAAATTAAAAAATTTTCCATTTCTATGGGAAATGTTACATTTTGTAGGAAAATGTTGCACTTTTTATAAGAGAAGTTTTAAAAAGAGCTGTTCAATTAAATGTCAACCATAAATTTATAGGTTATAAAATTAAAATGTTTAATTTAAATCTATTTAAACTACAAGTGAAAATTTTACAATTAATGTTAACCATTTCTCACATAATCCAGAGTACGCCACAAAGCAACTGAATAAATTTTTAACTAATTTCAATACTAAACAATCAAATCAACCAACACATACGCACAATTTAAATAAAACGAAATTTAAATTCTCATGAATGAATAACAAAATTTTGACGCTGACATTTTACAAAAGAAAGAAGAAATAAAAACCGAAACGAAAGAATCAAAATCACGTATAAATATGGAGCATTTCTCTTTTATGTTCACAAATGTTCACACACTGAATAAATTATTATAATAACTGCGAATTTTTTTTCATGCTGCTCATTTTCTTATTTATAACAAGAAATAAAATCTAAAAAAAAACTTAATAAAGAATTTATTATTATTAAACACATACCAAAGAAATTTTAGCAAAAAATAAAAGGAGATAAAATAAAAAAATTGTTATATTAATTCAAATTAACTTGTACCCTGCAAAAGAAGGTATTTGCATAAATTTATTTTCATTATTCACATAAAAAAGCATAAATTAATGTTTTACGAGGTATTTGGACAAAAAAAAAGTAAATAAATTAAAAAAGAATCAGAACATATGAATGATTGAGAAGAAAAAAAAAAGAAACATTACAAATTGAAAAAATGAACGTTAACTGAGATGAGTATAAATAAGATTTGCGCATAATTTAATAGAGTGTTTGTTTGTCTGTCTGTCCAGTAATTACTTTAGCTCTGCGACTGACTGTTTGTCACATGTTTGAATATTTAATTTGATGTTTTTCTCTTTTATTTGTCAACTTTTTTGTTCAGTTTTAAATGTTTTAATTTACGCGCATTTACAATAAAATTTTAATCGGATTAGCAGGGTGTTGATTGGTGAACCTGATTGACATTGTGTATTGATGAATATAATGTAACATTTCTTGGTAAAGATGATGGTTGTCTTTAACAAAGCAACTCTTTCTTAGAAAAATTGTTTGTTAAGACATCAACTTTATTCTATAGAAAAATAGTCTGTTAACAGAGCAACTTTTTATTAAAGAGCAACTTTTCTATAGAAAATTTGAGTGTTAACACAGCAACTTTTTTCTATAGAAAAGTTGTGTGTTAGCACAGCAACTTTATTGTGTGTTAACACACCAACTTTTTCTGTGTAAAAGTTGTCTGTTAACCCAGCAACTTTTGTGTTAAGACAAGAACTTTTTCTATAGAAAGGTTATGTGTTTAAAAAAGTTATGTGTTAACAAATTTTGCTATAGAAAATGTATGTGTTAACACAGCAACTTTTTCTATAGAAAATGTATGTGTTAACACAGCAACTTTTTCTATAGAAAAGTTGTGTGTTAACACAGCAACTTTTTCTATAGAAAAGTTGTGTGTTAACACAGCAACTTTTTCTATAGAAAAGTTGTGTGTTAACACAGCAACTTTTTTCTATAGAAAAGTTGTGTGTTAACACAGCAAGAAAAATTGTGTGTTAACACAGCAACTTTTTCTATAGAAAAGTTGTGTATTAACACTACAACTTTTTCTATAGAAAAGTTTTGTATTAACACTACAACTTTTTCTATAGAAAAGTTGTGTATTAACACTGCAACTTTTGCTATAGAAAAGTTGTGTATTAACACAGCAACTTTTGCTATAGAAAAGTGTGTTAACACAGCAACTTTTTCTATAGAAAAGTTGTGTGTTAACACAGCAACTTTTTCTATAGAAAAGTTGTGTGTTAACACAGCAACTTTTTCTATAGAAAAGTTGTGTGTTAACACAGCAACTTTTTCTATAGAAAAGTTGTGTGTTAACACAGCAACTTTTTCTATAGAAAAGTTGTGTGTTAACACAGCAACTTTTTCTATAGAAAAGTTGTGTGTTAACACAGCAACTTTTTCTATAGAAAAGTTGTGTGTTAACACAGCAACTTTTTCTATAGAAAAGTTGTGTGTTAACACAGCAACTTTTTCTATAGAAAAGTTGTGTGTTAACACAGCAACTTTTTCTATAGAAAAGTTGTGTGTTAACTTAGCAACTTTTTCTATAGAAAAGTTGTGTGTAAACACAACGTGGTCTGTTAACACAGCAACCTTATCTATAGAAACTTGGTATGTTAACACAGCAACTTTTTCTATAGAAAAGTGGTCTGTTAACACAGCAACTTTTTCAATAGAAAATGGGTCTATTAACACAGCAACTTTTTCAATAGAAAAGTGGTCTATTAAAAGAGCAACTCTTTCTTATTAAAAAGTTGCTGTATTAACACAGCAACTTTATCTAGATATGAGTGATCTGTTAGTAGAAAATTTCTTTCTGGATGGTGAGATAATTTATGAGTTTTTGAGGTTATGTGTTAATAAATTTTAATAATTTCTAATAAATTATTAAACAACCTTTTGAAATAAAACTCTTTTGATCAGATTTTGTAATTTAATTAAATTCCTTTAAATTTTTTTATTTTCTTTGACAATTTTTTTTTATAATTAATTTGTGTATTTTGATTGATTTATTTTTACATTTTAATTTATTGATAATTTCTTTTGATATGAGTTTTAAATTTTGCGTAACACTTATTAGAAAGAAATTATTTTGAAAATTTTGGTAATGTTTTGTAACAAAAAGAAATTTCTGAAAACTACCAACAACAAATTTGTATTTTTTTTTTAGTTTAATTAAAAATTGTTTAAAAATATTTTGTGTTTTTTGATATGACGCTGTAATTTTTGTAATTTATTTTCATTTTGAGGAGCAACAACAATTAGTATTAAAAATAGTTAATTATTTGGAAAAAAATATTTTGAATATTTTTATAATTTTTACCATAAATTTACAGTTATTTTGTTCGTGTTTGTGTTTTCTTGAAGTTTAATAAATTGCTTTTAGTAAAATTTGTGATATTTTTTTAATAAATTTAAATTTTGTTTAAGGAGTTTTTATTCCTCCCTATTCTTGGTTCCTGTTTAAGGTTGTGAAGCCATTCTTATGCGAGCTGTGGCTCTAGATTTGGTATGAATTTCAGCGGTTCTCAAAGTAATGCCAAATATATCTTCATGATAACGATTTTCATCCTGAAATGAGAAATATGTAATAATTCAATAATGATCTAATAACATTTAAAGTTTTATATAAAACATTATTTTCTACACTTTATCTAATATAGAATTTTCTCAAAATAATGTATATGTTTATATAAAGTAAAACATATTAAATATTTATAAAATATTTGTGCAACAAACCATAGGAAGCTTCTTTTAACTACTTACATATACAACGAGCACTACTTTTCTTAAAAAAACCTTAGTAACGCTTAGACATACAGATGCTTTTCAAATACGAGGAGTTGTATAAAAATTTCTTTAAAATAATGTGTCTAATTATTTTACGTTTTCTAACTAAAAACTTGCTAAAACACATATCCCATCTATCTTTTTAGTGAAAAAAAGAAAATCTAATAAATTTCTACTTTATATCCTTTTTTTAGAAAAAATGCATCATTAACCCCTCAACACCAAACATCTCTGACATCTCAGCTCTACTCTCATAAACAGCTTCATTATTGTAAAACATTACTTTTAGTTTATTGTTGCAACAACAATAAAACTATTATAATGCATATTTTTTACGAAAAAATCCTGCAGAATCATGCATAGCATACTTACACGTAATGTCAGTAAAAATGTCTCAACTTCCGCTTCTGTTTTTTGTTCTTTTCCGGCAATGCACTTCCTAGAAAGTGGAGCACACACACACACCGACACAATCAAAACAAACCACCAACATGACAATGATTGTAGAATCAAAACATCAGCAGCAAGCAACAATTACAGCAGCATTGGTAGTATCATCAACATCATCGTACAGCAACACATATGATTTTGAAAAAAAGAAAAACGTTGAAGCAGAGTTAAAATACAAAAAAAGGATAAACGGATATACAAGGGTGAGTTTGAAAAATATTATATTTTTTAATATATATTTACACATACATACATATAAGCTTACATAAACTAAGTAATATAAACAATTTTTAGTCATTTTTATTAAATTAAAGAGTGGTTCTTAACACAGCAACTTTTTCTATAGAAAAGTAGTGTGTTAACACAGCAACTTTTTCTATAGAAAAGTAGTGTGTTAACACAGCAACTTTTTCTATAGAAAAGTAGTGTGTTAACACAGCAACATTTTCTATAGAAAAGTAGTGTGTTAACACAGCAACATTTTCTATAGAAATGTAGTGTGTTAACACAGCAACTTTTTCTATAGAAAAGTAGTGTGTTAACACAGCAACTTTTTCTATAGAAAAGTAGTGTGTTAACACAGCAACTTTTTCTATAGAAAAGTAGTGTGTTAACACAGCAACTTTTTCTATAGAAAAGTAGTGTGTTAACACAGCAACTTTTTCTATAGGAAAGTAGTGTGTTAACACAGCAACTTTTCTATAGGAAAGTAGTGTGTTAACACAGCAACTTTTTCTATAGGAAAGTAGTGTGTTAACACAGCAACTTTTTCTATAGGAAAGTAGTGTGTTAACACAGCAACTTTTTCTATAGAAAAGTAGTGTGCTAACACAGCAACTTTTTCTATAGAAAAGGAGTGTGTTAACACAGCAACTTTTTCTATAGAAAATTTGTGTGTTAACACAGCAACTTTTTCTATAGAAAATTTGTGTGTTAACACAGCATCTTCGTCTATAGAAAAGTAGTCTGTTAAACACAGCAACTTTTTCTATAGAAAAGTAGTGTGTTAATACAGCAACTTTTTCTATAGAAAAGTAGTGTGTTAACACAGCAACTTTTTCTATAGAATAGTAGTGTGTTAACACAGCAACTTTTTCTATAGAAAAGTTGTGTGTTAACACAGCAACTTTTCTATAGAAAAGTTGTGTGTTAACACAGCAACTTTTTCTATAGAAAAGTTGTGTGTTAACACATCAACTTTTCTATAGAAAAGTTGTGTGTTAACACAGCAACTTTTTCTATAGAAAAGTTGTGTGTTAACACAGCAACTTTTTCTATAGAAAAGTTGTGTGTTAACACAGCAACTTTTTCTATAGAAAAGTTTTCATAGAAAAAGTAGCTGTGTTAACACAGCAAGTTTTTCTATAGAAAAGTTGTGTGTTAACACAGCAACTTCTATGAATTATTTTTGATCAGTCTGTGAACAGTCTGTGAATAAAGGTAATCTAAAAAAATCTTAAGAACAAAATTTTTTATCAAGGTTTATTAATAAAAGCTTTATAAGATTCTATAACAAAAATGCATAAGTCGACTACTTTATGAAGAGTATAAAAGGAATTTTTCTTTAATTAAAAAAAAAAAATAAATAAATAAATTTTAAAATTACCAATACTTATAAATATGTATAAGAACATTTTCCATAAAATTTCCTTATACTTTTCAATTTTAAAATTTTATTTAATTAATAATGTTATAAAGTTTACTCCATAAATTTTAACACTAAACATTTAATACTGTTTTCTTTAAATTCCCACAAATCCTTAAATATTTAATTAGAAATTCTTTAACTATCATTTTCAAATCATTATAATATGTAACTGTTGGCTTGAATTGTTTTTACCAAAAAACTAACACTTTATATAATTTGTTATTAAGAAATGTGGTTAACAAATCAATTTTACTTCTAAACATAAAATTACAATTCATTTACAAACTTATTACAAATGTAAATTTGTATTATTTTTTTTTTTTGTAATGTTATAATACTACTCATAAAATATAAATTTTCTACGCCTTCCTTTTTACTTTATTATCTGCTCAAGAAGTAGAATTATTTATAACAAAAATACCGCAATACAATTTCCTTAATAATCTATGCTTGTACATACAAAATACTGTTGGTCCTGAATTGTAGTTTTCTAGTTTTTCTTTATTTATTTATACATATACTATAGAAAGAGAAACATAAAAAGGACAGACAGATGGATTGAAAAGATTTTCTAACAACAAAACTTGATAAAAACCAATTGGTTACAATAATTCTATGGTTTGTAAAACATATTGTTTTACAAACAAATAAAAACTCAATAAACTAAAGGATTTCCTATTCAATAAATACAAATTTAAGGATTTAGATAAAAAATGTGACCAACATTGTTAAAAAACTTTTTGAAAATCGTTAAAATAGAATATATTGCTCTGTTATAAACATAAGTTTGCTGTGTTAACACAGTACTTTTCTATAGAAAAAGTTGCTGTGTTAACACAGTACTTTCCTATAGAAAAAATTGCTGTGTTAACACAGTACTTTCCTATAGAAAAAGTTGCTGTGTTAACACAGTACTTTCCTATAGAAAAAGTTGCTGTGTTAACACAGTACTTTCCTATAGAAAAAGTTGCTGTGTTAACACAGTACTTTCCTATAGAAAAAGTTGCTGTGTTAACACAGTACTTTCCTATAGAAAAAGTTGCTGTGTTAACACAGTACTTTTCTATAGAAAAAATTGCTGTGTTAACACAGTACTTTTCTATAGAAAAAAATTGCTGTGTTAACACAGTACTTTTCTATAGAAAAAAATTGCTGTGTTAACACAGTACTTTTCTATAGAAAAAAGTTGCTGTGTTAACACAGTACTTTTCTATAGAAAAAAGTTGCTGTGTTAACACAGTACTTTTCTATAGAAAGAAGTTGCTGTGTTAACACAGTACTTTTCTATAGAAAGAAGTTGCTGTGTTAACACAGTACTTTTCTATAGAAAAAAGTTGCTGTGTTAACACAGTACTTTCTATAGAAAAAAGTTGCTGTGTTAACACAGTACTTTTCTATAGAAAAAGTTGCTGTGTTAACACAGTACTTTTCTATAGAAAAAGTTGCTGTGTTAACACAGTACTTTTCTATAGAAAAAAGTTGCTGTGTTAACACAGTACTTTTCTATAGAAAACGTTGCTGTGTTAACACAGTACTTTTCTATAGAAAACGTTGCTGTGTTAACACAGTACTTTTCTATAGAAAACGTTGCTGTGTTAACACAGTACTTTTCTATAGAAAACGTTGCTGTGTTAACACAGTACTTTTCTATAGAAAACGTTGCTGTGTTAACACAGTACTTTTCTATAGAAAACGTTGCTGTGTTAACACAGTACTTTTCTATAGAAAACGTTGCTGTGTTAACACAGTACTTTTCTATAGAAAACGTTGCTGTGTTAACACAGTACTTTTCTATAGAAAACGTTGCTGTGTTAACACAGTACTTTTCTATAGAAAAAGTTGCTGTGTTGACACAGTACTTTTCTATAGAAAAAGTTGCTGTGTTAACACAGTACTTTTCTATAGAAAACGTTGCTGTGTTAACACAGTACTTTTCTATAGAAAAAGTTGCTGTGTTAACACAGTACTTTTCTATAGAAAAAGTTGCTGTGTTAACACAGTACTTTTCTATAGAAAAAGTTGCTGTGTTAACACACAACTTTTCTCTTGAAGATTTGTCTCTAATTGTGCTATATACTTTGGTCATATGTCGGCTGAATATAAGTGTACATTTTCAGTCCACATCTCTCCTACTTTACACAATTCTAAATGCATTCAATAGTAAACATTTATATGATTATGTTAATATAATCTTAATGATTATGTTATGTACATGAACATTTGCCTTATTGCCATTTCACACATACAATAAACTATATACAGGATATCATAGTTATCCTTATAAGTTTGAGGAATGAAATATTGAAAATAACTTACCTTATAGTTTGATAGACATGTTCCGCCATTGTGACATCACCACACACATAAATGTGACCACGTTCCTCAACAATCAAATTGTATAATGAATCGAATTCTTGCTCAATCAAATCTTGGACATAAGTCTAAGAGAGATTTGTTATTCATTCATCACAACGACAACAAAGAAACCAGAAAACAGAAAGGATACAGTTGTAAACAGGACAAGATAATAAGGAGGGGACAAGATAATATGATACAATGTTAGGAGGAGGATGATGATGATGATGACAAGTGTTGTCATGTTGCCGTAAGACAGTAGCAGTAGATAAAAAAATCCCCAGCAATCATTTGATGACCATTCAAGCATTTCATTTTCATCAATGAGACAATCATTAGAATTGTTAGTTACGAATTGATCAGGGAAAAGTAGCATCCATACAAATAGTAAACGAAACAAATGCAATCGGAAATAAAATAGAGAAAATAAAGAAAAATTGTTAAGGGAAAATGTATGAATAAATGTTGCAGGAAATTTTATTTATTGAACAGTTTTAATAGTTTATATTTGTAGCAGTTTCGTTTCAATGAAAGAATGTTGTTTGTCCATGTGTTAGTTATGAACAACTATTTTACTATACGTTTCCGTTTCCCAGACAAAGGACATAGAAAAAAAAACTTTTATTGCAAATATGTTTTTGGTATGGCTGGGTTTGTTATATAAATTCAATATATCTATACATTTTGTCTTTTATCTGTGTGTGTGTATTTGTGAAAAAAAAGTTGTATTTGAAAAATATCTACCACTAGTATTTTGTGGTGTAAAGCCAGTATGGCTAAAGCAAGAGAGATTTTCTAAGCTTTAAAGGCTTCAATAAGGATTTGCAATAATATTGAAATATCTTTGTAACATGAAATATTAATACTCTATTTATTTATCTCTAGCTGTTTATTTATTTATTACACAATATTCTGCTTGAATGTGTAATATTTTATTGAAAAATAAATAGTAGTTAAATAAAGAAAGTTCAGATGCTTACCTTTGGTATATTTGGCTCTCTAGACAAAGCTAAAAATACTCTATCCAATATTTGCTCCTTAACCAAACGCTCTTTCTCATCGGCATACAAATCCACATTACTATTGCGACAACCGAAGAAAAGCCATACTTTAGGTAATTGACAATCGCTATGCATTTCACGCATCATTTCAAATTCCTGCCAAAATGAGCGGAAGGGAGCAATACCTGTACCAGGACCTATCAAAACTATAGGTCTGGAAGTATCCGAGGGTAAATGAAAACCAGGAGCACTGCGCACAAATATAAAAAGATCATCTTGAGCCTTAAGAGCAGCCATATAGTTAGAACAAACACCAAAACGTTCATCTCCAGCACCATCCTCACAACGATATCTGACTATGGCCACGGTCAAGTGTATTTCATTATTGACCTTACGTGGTGAAGAGGATATTGAATAGAATCTCGATTGTAGAGGCATTAAATTAGCCAATACTAAAGAGGCTGGCGGTTTACAAGAGGGAAACTCTTCGAGAACATCTAGTAAATGAGGTAAACGCCAATGACGCCAATCTTCATAGGCCGACGAATCGTTGACCAGCAACTGTAGTCGTTCCTTGTCCGCATTATCTTCACAAAAACCCGCCAACAAAGTCAACATTTGCCTCGAGGGTGGCGTTGTTATATCAAAAAATCTAGTTAAAAGAGTTCTTAAACTTTCTGCTGGTATTTTGTCATGTGATTCCCAACACTTGAAAATACCATTCGATGTTTGTTTCTCCTTTAACAATTGCAATTGCAAAACTTCGTCTGGATCCTCGAAACCAGTCAAACGTTTCAGTAAACCATCCACAATTTCCGGTCTATTAGCCGGAAATATGCCCACATGATCTCCTGGCTCATAATCTATGCCGGGAGCTGTTATTTCCAATAATATGGTGGTCTTCTCATCACTCGCCATGCTGGTGAGGTTAAGTGGTTGTTTTTTGATTTGACAGCAAGTCACTTTTTTATTGTGATATTTCGAGAGTAATTGCTCCAGTGTTCCCTTACCCTTAGCGGGCACCAAGCGTACTGTATTAACAGTTAAAGAATCATTTTGTAAAGCCATTGAGGCATCCGAGAGACTTTCTTCTGGATCCAAACAAAATGTTTCACATGCCACCTTAAAGACTTCAGGAGCCCATTTACGAAATGATTGTTCTTGTCCGCACATTTCATCGCCATAAGAAACCTTTAGCAAACGTTCACCACCCAATTCGCCTAAAATATTGTCGATATATTGACCAAAAGCACAGAAATTTGGATAAGCCGAGGATCCCAGGGCAAAAACAGCAAATCTGAAATTGTCGCAAAAATTTTAAATATTTTCTGTAAAATTTGGAAACAATTTTCTATAGAAAATTTGTTTAAGTTTAGGACAAGATTTTCTATATGAAATTTGTTCTATTGTGACAAGATTTTCTATAGAAAATGTTTTCACATTGTGACAAGATTTTCTATAGAGAATTTGTTCACATTGTGACAACATTTTCTATAGAAAATGTTCTCACATTGTGACAAGATTTTCTACAGAAAATGTTCTCACATTGTGACAAGATTTTCTATAGAAAATGTTCTCACATTGTGACAAGATTTTCTATAGAAAATGTTCTCACATTGTGACAAGATTTTCTACAGAAAATGTTCTCACATTGTGACAAGATTTTCTATAGAAAATGTTCTCACATTGTGACAAGATTTTCTATAGAAAATTTGTTCACATTGTGACAAGATTTCTATAAAAAATTTGTTCACATTGTGACAAGATTTTCTATAAAAAATTTGTTCACATTGTGACAAGATTTTCTATAGAAAATTTGTTCACATTGTGACAAGATTTTCTATAGAAAATTTGTTCACATTGTGACAAGATTTTCTATAGAAAATTTGTTCACATTGTGACAAGATTTTCTATAGAAAATTTGTTCACATTGTGACAAGATTTTCTATAGAAAATTTGTTCACATTGTGACAAGATTTTCTACGAAAATTTGTTCACATTGTGACAAGATTTTCTACGAAAATTTGTTCACATTGTGACAAGATTTTCTATAGAACATATGTTCGCATTGTGACAACATTTTCTATAGAAAATTTATTCACATTGTGACAACATTTTCTATAGAAAATTTGTTCACATTGTGAAAACATTTTCTATAGAAAATTTGTTCACATTGTGACAACATTTTCTATAGAAAATTTGTTCACATTGTGACACAATTTTCTATAGAAAATTTGTTCACATTGTGACAACATTTTCTATAGAAAATTTGTTCACATTGTGACACAATTTTCTATAGAAAATTTGTTCACATTGTGACACAATTTTCCATAGAAAATTTACTCACATTGTGACAACATTTTCTATAGAAAACTTTTTTACATTGTGACAAGATTTTCTTTAGAAAATTTGTTCACATTGTGACAAGATTTCTATTGAAAATTTGTTCATATCGTGACAAGATTTTCACAAAATTTCTACAGAAATGTTGCTAACATTGTGAGAGAACTTTCTGTAGAAAATTTTCTCATATATTGACTTTTGATAAACTCTTTTATATTGCAATTTGTTTTCACCTCTCTTTTCAATCCCTCTTTTCGTCTTACCTCACATTCGATAAAGGCCCAAAATTCTCTTCTGTAAATGTATCCGATGTGGAGCCTCTCAACGAATCCCATCTATCGATTTTCTTTACTTGTTGCAAGGGTAATTTAATAAAATCTTGCCTTGAGCTCGCTTTCATAAATGATTTCGATGAAGCAACTGGGACACTAGAAAAAAATTGCAGAAAAAACACAAAATTGAAGTAAAAACCGGAAATGAAAGAAAAACGATACAGGAAATAATATAAAATTGTTTAAGTAAACAACATGTAATACTTTCATATTTATAAAAAAATAAGTAAGAATGTTTCTAAAAGATAATGTGTTCTAAACAGTGGCTACTGGTTTAAGTTATCTAAAGAATTTAAACTTTAAATTGTTTTGCAAAATGTCCTGCTAAAAGTTGTTTCACTTTTTGTGACCGGATTCATATTGTAAATCACATGACAGTATATGTTACGGAGATGTAATAAAAGCGCAAGTGACACATATTGGACAGATGCAATACAAAGGATTAGTTACATTTATTATATTGAGAATGAATGAATGAACCCGTATGTTTGTATAGAGGATAACTAACAATGACAGATTTTTGTTGTTATTATAGGGTATTATGTTTTGTCTGTGTAGTAGTTTTATTAATGACAGCTTTTTTGTAAAATAAAATAAATAATCCTTATTTAAAGCTATACAACTACATGTTTAAAACATTTTTAATCATAAATTTTAAGGTTTAAAATTATGTTTATGTTTGTTTTTCAAATATTATTATAAATAGATTCTTCAATCTGTGTCTAGGTCACTGTTTGCGGAAAGACATACATACGAACATATTTTATTTAAGCTAAATATTTTCATTTCTTTTGTTTAAGCAACAAGCGGAAAAAAATCTCTAAATAAGCTTTTTTTCATACAACTTAAACACACTGCAACATAATTACAAGTGGTGGATTAATTCTCAAGCAGTGTGTTTACCTTTTATGTATGTGTCTGTTAGAGCAACAATAGTTTATAACGATAATGATGTTGTAGCATCATATAGTGTTGCACATTTTAGCTTATAGCTATTTTTGCAATTGTATTCTGTTCATAGATACACGTACGTACATAAGTATATTTGTATGTATATAAGTGTTACGCCTTTTACGTTTTCTATTGTTGTATTAGTTTTTGTTTTATTCCTTGCTTTCATATATTTTCCCACTTCTGCCTCATGGGGCTGTTAGTTAAGGCTATTTAATGGACTTGTACTTTTAGCTGTTTTTGCTATGTTTTAGTGAAGTGGTTGAAATAATTCGAATAGAAGAGACACTTAACTAGTATAGCTAAGGATGGAGATAAGTTAATATAGAGCAAGCATTTTTCTGGAGGGGTCTTTGAAATACCTTATATATACCTAATATAAATGTTATCTGTGTATAGAATAGTTCTGTTAATGGCTGAGATAGGATCCAAAAATTAAAAACAACCCTAATTTTGAAATAAATTTTTAATCCAGTTATATAGCTAAAAATTAATACAGTCCTTGATTATTGATTCTATCTATCTATTCTATCTATTCTATCTATCTATCTATCTATCTATCTATCTATCTATCTATCTATCTATCTATCTATCTATCTATCTATCTATCTATCTATCTATCTATCTATCTATCTATCTATCTATCTATCTATCTATCTATCTATCTATCTATCTATCTATCTATCTATCTATCTATCTATCTATCTATCTATCTATCTATCTATCTATCTATCTATCTATCTATCTATCTATCTATCTATCTATCTATCTATCTATCTATCTATCTATCTATCTATCTATCTATCTATCTATCTATCTATCTATCTATCTATCTATCTATCTATCTATCTATCTATCTATCTATCTATCTATCTATCTATCTATCTATCTATCTATCTATCTATCTATCTATCTATCTATCTATCTATCTATCTATCTATCTATCTATTGATGGTGGTGGGAACAATCATAAAGCGATCCTCTTAAAATTTTACATACATTTTTACATGAATTTCCCTTAAATACAGAATTTATAAAAAATGTCCCTTAAATAGACATTTTATCAATAATTTCCTTTACATAGAAAATTTATCGTAAATTCCCCTCAAATATTGAACTTATAAAAAAATTCCCTTAAATAGACAATTTATCAATAATTTCCTTGAAACAGACAAATTATCAAAAATTTCCCTTAAATATAGAATTTATCAATAATTTCCGTTAAATAGAGAATTTATCATAAAATTCCCTCAAATATAGAATTGATAGAAAATTTCCCTTAAATGCACAATTTATCAATAATTTCAAAAATTTCCCTTAAATATTGAATTTATAAAAAAGTTCTCTTAAATAGACAATTTATCAATAATTTCCTTTAAATAGAGTATTTATCAAAAATGTCCCTTTAAAATAAAATGTATACAAAATTGCCTTAAATAGACATTTTATCAATAATTTCCTTTTTAAAAAATTTCCCATAAATATAGAATTTATAAAAAATTTCCCTTAAATAGACTATTTATCAATAATTTCCTTTAAATAGTGATTTTATCATAAATTTCCCTCGAATATAGAATTTTTAAAAAATATCCATTAAAAAGACAATTTATCAATAATTTTCTTTAAATAGAGGATTTATCAAAAATTTCCTAAAAAATAAAATTTATACAAAAATTGCCTTAAACAGACAATTCGTCAATAATTTCCTTTAATAGAATTTATCCAAAAATAGAATTTATTGAAATATAGAATTTATCAAAAAATTTCCCTCAAATATAGAATTTATAGAAAATTTCCCTTAAATAGACATTTTATACTTAATTTCCTTTTAAAAGAGATTTTATCAAAAAATTCCCTTAAATAGACAATTTATAAATAATTTCCTTTAAGTAGAGGTTTTATCAAAAAATTTTCCTTAAATATAGAATTTAAAGAAAATCCCCCTTCAATATACATTTTATAAATAATTTCCTTTTGAAAGGGATTTTATCAAAAATGTCCCTTAAATAGACGATTTATCAATAATTTCCCTTAAAAAGACAATTTATCAAAAATTTCCCTTATATATATAATTTATGAAAAATTTCCTTTTTATAGACAATTTATCAAAAATTTTCGTTTATGACCTCAAAAGATGAACAGTTCTTTTGATTTCCTTCAAAAGCAATACCAACCTAATGTGGAAATATGTTTGCTTCCATTTCACTCTGCACTCTACACAAAGCTGTAATTATTTTTACGCTTGAACTAAATAAGTAGATTGTTTTCTGCGTATTTAACCGTTCGTCTGTAGATCCGTGTGTCCGTATACAAGGGTTGTTTGTGTTTATTTAAACGTTCCTTGCAGTTTTGGGTCACGGTAGCGAACTAGTCATTTGTATGCCAAAAGGAAACAGTTTGCACTGGAGAAAGTCAATAGATCATTTAGATCAGGATGTAGTGAATACAAGGTGACATCACTAGCCCAGATGATCATTGTTTACAATTTTTTACATAGACTTGTATACAGAGGCTTAAACCGCACGTTTGTCAAACTTCATATATAAAAAAAAATGACAATCTACATTTACTCTCAAGTGCTGATACCTTGTTAAGTATACCATGGTTTAGATATTACAAGCTTGGCAATTGACTCTTCAAAATCCCTAAAACTTCTAAAATACACTATAAAGTGCCGAATGCACTAATACTTTTGACTCCTTTTTATGTAAAGGTGTCTGTTGGTCTTAAAGTATTTAAAGTTTACTTTCTTAAGTTGCTTTTAATTACACTCTTGAGTGGCTTAAATAACAACAAAAGGTGGTAAGAGAACAATTTTATTTTGAACTATTTTTAGACGGATGTTTACGTCAAGGAAAATAAGTAAAATATTTTGCACTAGATTTTTAGCGCACAAAAATAAAACATAAACATTTTAAATGGCGCATAAATGTAGGCAATACTTTTATGGTTTTCTATTTAAATGAATACAGTGTGAGGCAATACTTTTTGGAATAGTTAATATTTATGATGATGATTTTATTTTGTCTTCTTTTTTATTAAATTGTATATTTATAGTTTTATAAATTTATAACAAAATAATTTCATTGCATTTGATTTAATAAATATTAAAAAATTATTAAATTTTCTGTTGTAACAAACTTTTGCAAACTATTTGCTAAATAAATTTGTTAAATTTCTTTCTTTTATTTATAGTCATTCCAAAAATTGTTCAGCACAAATCTTGCCAAATACTCTTGACAAGAATTTTAAATCCGTTTCTTTTTGTTATTTAAAATCTTATACATATTGAATATGTGTGTGTGTATCTGCATACATTATAAATATTTGGCTAATTGACAAACTTATTTCCAAACAAAAAAGAAACGAAAATGAAACCAAAACTTTTGAATTGACTACAAAATTTTCTCAATTGTAGTTAAATATAACTTTTTACAATGTCAAAACTGCAACACAGGAGTTAATAAAATTCAACAGTTTCCTTCTTCTAATATTGCTTTTATACAGAAACAGCAACAACAAAAATATTAAGAAAACTTATAATAATTTGATAAAATAGTTTCTTATAAAATGTTTACGAAAAGGGAAGAAAAAAAACTTTACACAATTGCCAAATGATTACAAGGCCAAATTTCGAGGTTTGCCAATAATCCCTTTTTGGAAATATACATACATAGATACATATGCATGTATGTATGTGTGTTCATTTGTATGAAACTGGAAAATTAAGTGGCGATGATGGGTAGTAGAGTGTATATAATACCAGTTCAATTCAATTACTTAAAGAACATATTTTCTTATAATAAAACTTTATTTAACAAAGATGATGGTTCAACATGATGAGCATGATGGTGATGACGATTAGCTGAGAAAAGTTGAAGTTAAAGTAATATATTTTCATAGATATTGTCAAATCATGAAAAATAAATCAAAACTTTCAACAAAAAGTTTCTTTAAATAATGATTTTATTGAAAAATTCGTTAAAAATGAAATTTATCGGAAACGTCTTTTAAATACAGAATTTATAAACAGTTTCTCTAGAATATGAAATTTATGGAAAATTTCCGTTAAATAGAGAATTTGTCTCAAAATTTTGTTTAAATAGAAATTTCGTTAGAAATTTCCTATATTCAAAAACTTTATA